TTCGAATGACCAAAATACAATGTAACTGCAATGCTTTATGGGTTTGTGCAATTACATAGTTTTTTGTAGATTGACCTGCACGGTTTCCACCAATGAGATCGCTTCATTCGATGTGGACAAGACAGTGTGTTGACATCTAAGGTCCATAACAGATGGCGCGTGAAAAACGAGAAAACTTGTGAGCGGTCCTTAACAGATGGCGCGCGAAACACGAGAAAGCTCATGAGCGGTACGAAAGGTGTTAATATGAGTTGATAAATATATAAACCATCCTGTTGATTTTATCATGGAGTGTGTCCCCCAATAACTTTCAAATTAAGCACTCTCTTACCACCCTACCTGCTTTGGCTCAGTGGATAGAGTGTTGGCCTGTGAACTGAAGGGTCCCGAGTTCAATTCTGGTTAAGGGCACATGCCTGGGTTGTGGGCTTGATCCCCAGCAGGGGGTGTGCAGGAGGCAGCTGATCAACGATTCTCTCATCATTGATGTTTCTATCTCTCCTCCCTTCCTCTCTGAAATGAATAAAAATACTTTTAAAAAATAAATTACTTTTAAAAAAACTCTTACCTTTTGGTTTTATAACACCTTCCTCATATTGGTGTTTGGAGGTAGCATGCAGCAAAACCAGACATTCCAATAACCAAATGGTTTGGCACCAGATAACAGTCATCTTCATTTATTTAGTGGTGCCACTCCTGTGTGCCAGACTGCAGGAGAGGTGGAAGGTGTGGCCACAGATAGGATAAGATGGAAGAACAAGCAGCTAGCCATGCAAGGTGGGGAAATCAGGAAAAAAACTGGTTTCTGTAGAGCAAGTCCTGGTAGTCAGGAAAGAATGCCACGAGAACCCAGAATGGTAGCAGACACTGTGGGAGCCCTATGCTTGTGCTGCATGGAGCAAGGCCGGCTCTCCTTACAGCCAGCGTTTGGATGGAATTCTGCAAAGGAAAACCAGCGTGATGATGGCATCTCGTCTTATTGTTTTGACATGCACGATTAGATATGAGGTTTATCAAGTTTGAGACATTTTATGAAATAACTAGAGGCCTGGTGTACAAAATTCATGCACGGGGGGAGGGTCCTGCACCCTCTCCAATTCTGCACCCTCTCCAATCCGGGACCCCTTGGGGGATGTCTGACTGCCGGTTTAGGCCCGATCCCGGGGATCAGGCCTAAAACGGCAGTCGGACATCCCTCTCACAATCCTGGACCGCTGGCTCCTAATCGCTCACCTGCCTGCCTGCCTGGTCACCCC